GGTTGGAGTCTTTGTTGGTTCTAAGACAACATTCATCAGTGTTCGTCAGTGTCGACCAGCACATCAATGCAACATCTCAGTGTCAGCAGATCGAAGCTCAGCTCACAAAGCTGTTAGAGGCCATCAAAGAGCCTGTGAAGGTCACACTCGGCAACTTTCAGCCAATCTGTTCAGACAAGTTTCAAAAAAAAGAAAAAAACCTGGCTGGTGTCAGAAGCGGCGTTTGAATTCCCGGCCCGGTGGGGACGCCCATTCGCTCATTCGCCGCCACTTTCACTCCTCGTCTTGGGAGTAAAAGCAGAGCTATCAGCTTAACGCTGACTCAGGCCCGCAGCCTTTGTTTGTGCCGTGAATCGTGTTCGGAGTGTAACCACAGAAACCGGCAACAGTCGCTGAATTACTGATGGGTGAAGAAAACACGATTACGGTGAGTCTGTGCAGAGCCTTTCACAGGCTCTCTAATTGGATTTTGCGTTCCTTTAAGCGGCGCTCAGGAAGAGCTCGGCGAAAACAAACTGCTCCTGAAGGGGAGCGGGCGCTAACACCCCCTCCCGTGGAAATAACACCGGCTGCTTTAAAGCGGGACTTCAGCAGGTCTGCCGAGTCAGAAGAAAAGAGCATTTTAAAAACTGCAGCTTCGCTCAGACGGGATTAAAACCGCAGGGGGCGTCAGTACTCCCTGTAGTCCCGGATCAGCTCGCTGCTCGGGACGCTGAGCAGGAAAATCACGGAAACCTTCACGCTGCAATCTTCTTCTTAGTTTGGGTCACGGCGTCTACGATGAAGGGCAAGAAAACAAATCGAGAACAGAACAAATCAGGCCTGAAGTCCGCTGAAGCAACATCCCAGGAAAAGGAGCGAAAACATTCCCCTTAAATCAGGCAGCAGCCTCATTGTGACCTCCAGCTCTTCTGCTGTAAGCTTTCCTTCAGGGAACAACTACAAAGACCCGAGCAAGTGTCGTTTTGCCTGATTTCCCAACAGATGGATGAACTTGTCTGTATTTATGCTTCCCTTTGGTTTTAAAGGTGACGCCCTCCGAGGAACAAGTCTCGCCATCGTTGGCCATCCCGGTAAAGTTTCCAGACAGTAATCTGAATTCCCGAGCGAAATAAACGAGAAATACCCAACTTTGATTTAAGGGCCACCGAGCAGTCGCTGACTGAGATTTTGTTCTGAATTAGGCTTATAATCCCACTTACACACAAAGCACAGGGACGTGCATGTCAGCTCACCTGGGCTGCAGGTGTGTCTGTGAGTGGCTGCCTCACTGACAGCCCAGGTGAGCCCGAGTTCATTACTCCGGGTCATGTCGGTGCTCTCAGACCTAAAATAGCAGCACCACGGGGGACATGCTGTCCTCGGTCTCTCTGTAGGACATCAACTTCCTGCCCTGATGACGGCTCACAGACACGTGTGTGAATAATGTTACACACATACAGCACTAATACTCAGCTGTAATACCCTGAGCCTAACTCACCCTGAGCCTAACTCACCCTGAGACTAACTCACCCTGAGACT